GGGTAGGGCATGACCTGTCACCATGTTTAGCGTCCAAGCGGGCGTAAAACAGGGTTGTGTGATGTCTTACTGGCTGTTCATACTGTATCTCGACAGCTGTTCACAGAAGCTGAAAAATAGCTGTTTGGGTGTGAAATTGGGTGATATTAAAGTTAATTGTCTGCTGTATGCTGATGATGCAGTGCTTATTGCACTATCAGAACTGCGGGAATTAGTCACGTATATGAAAGAGGAATGTGAAATTAAAGGTCTCCGTTTGAATGCTAATAAAACTAAGGTTCTGGTATTTGAAAAGGACGAAGAGAGAACGAAATGTGAAATATGGGTAAATCAGGAATGTCTAGAACAGGTAAATTAAATTGTATACTTGGGGAGTGCTTTCAGCCGGGATGGAAGATGTGATTTAGATGTGGACAGGCGTGTCGCTGCCGGGAACAAAATCAATGGTGCCCTGAATGCGTTAGTCAAAAGGCAAGACGTAGTGAAGAGTGCACGCCTTGCAATACATAACGCAGTGTTGGTGCCGACTTTGTTATATGGCAGCGATACCTGGGTATGCCAGAAGTAGCATAAAAGCAAGTTGAATGCAGTGGAGATGCGATCTCTTCGTAAAATGTGCGACGTTACCATAGACGACCGAAAGCGGAAACGAAGAGATTCGCAATATGGCAGGATTGAAAGATGACCTTATCACAAAAATTGATAGGGGCGTACTCCGATGGTTTGGGCACGTTGAGCGAATGAGTGAAGACCGAATGGTGAAGAAAATATATAGCGCGAAAGTAAATATTAAAAGGTGTCGAGGTAGACCGAGACTAACTTTCAAAGATCATGTGAGCAAATTATTCGAAGAGGGGAAGGTCAAGAGTACTCGGATACCTAGACGTGCATGTATAAAGAAGTTAATGAACATGAAAGAAGCGAAAGAGGTATGTAAGGATCGTGACACTTGGCGATCTGTTCTCTCTGGCTACCCCGTTAGGGATTGTGCGTGAAGATAAGTAAGTTATTTATATTTAGATTATCTAATTATGAAACAAATCTGTGATTATGAGAATTAACAATGGTGTCATTATGACCAATGATAAGATACTAGAATTACTAGATAATAGTAAAGTTATTAAGAATTAGTATGATTTTTAACTAAGTTCGTTTTATAACTATAAGATTGAACTGCATAAAAGCGGCGGTTTTAGGGCAAGGGAGAGTTCTTCACTCTGCCCGTCGCTCCATTCAGATATAGGTTTCCTCACAATGGTTTTGCTTAGCGCCGAGCATATGGTAAATCAGAGCAACTTAACGGTGTGGAGATTGAATTTATGTGTGATTAAAATAAATAAACAAAGCAATTCTTAAGACTGAAATTAACGCTCAAGATTAATTTTCTGTTTAATAAATGTTGATTTTTACAAAAAATCAAAAAAGGTTTACCTCTCTTAAAAAAATATTTTCTTTCTTAAAAGTCTCGAAGTCCCGGGAATCCCCGGGACTTTGATTGTTGGCTGTCCTGTGTCCCGGGACTTTGAAATTGTCGGGAATTCCCAAACCCTAGTCTTCATAGAACCTAATGAATCGTTCAGAGTACTCCATTTTTCTTAGACTTCATTTTAGAACTATTGCACCCAAACTTGTATGTTTATCCACATGGTAGAATCACACTGCAGGTCTGTAATGATTGTAGCACAAATGACATGGTGACAACGCATCTGCATTTTGATTCTTAATTGAGGATACATATAGATGTCTATGGGCCACAGCATCCACTTACCATCGGGTGTACTGTGTGCTGGTTTGTCACACGTATTCTATTAAAAACAAAATTATACAGCTATTACCGAATCGCCAAAGTTTATATATGTCAACGTTTGGGCTGATTTGCACCTGCAAAACTTAAACAAACAATGCCTTTTTGAGCAATTCACTACTTTGATTAGGATCTTTTGCCATTTGTTAAATTTTACTTTTAGGCGTCAGAAATTTCTTAAAGTTCTTGATTTTTTATGTCAGTCTATTGTGTTTCTTCTGTTTAATGTTAAACTTTATAAACTTCCATTGATGATGGATTCTTATTTTAGCTATAACTTGTCTAAGGTCAGAATTCATATTTTCATTGTTTATATTATTGAGCTATATTTTTCCAAGGAAATTCCTCGTCGGATGTTGGTGGCATATTCTGGGCAATGTGATTGTCACAATAACTTTTTGATTGTTTCTATAATCATATGAGTACTTCTTCCACTCTTCTAATTTGTGCTCACGAGGGTTCATATCCTGAATAGATTTTCCCTGTCCTTTTTTTTCTATTTTAGATATGTCAGTCTTTCTTTCTCTTTATATTCAGCCAACAAAAATGGATTGCTTTTATTTTTATTCAAACGTAGCAGATTTTTTATGGCTATGTCATCTTTAGATAACTTTGGCTTCTTTGCATATAAACAACAATTATTAGAAAACATGACCAATAAGTGTATATAGTCTCTGGTCTCATAGTCTCACCTTGTTCGCTCCAAGAGTTCGCGGATTCGAATTCCTGAAAGGGCAAGTGTTGAATGTAGTTTTATGTATTCGTAAAAATAATAATCTAATCATTGACCCGCGGTTATCCGACAAACGTTTTGCAAGGCGGTGTCGGAGTATCAAATTTGTGGGACTATAAAGTACTGCCACAGCCCATTGGTAGTCCGGAACGTTTTGAAAAAGAGTACCTTGTAATTCGAACAATTATATCAAATATAAGATAATAATAAAAAAACATGTGATGCACAATGAATATCTTTACAGGAAATAATGAACGCCCTCTAGGCCGCTACCGTAGTCACATTCAAACTAAGAAAATACGCATCAAGTAAAATTCTTGGTGGCGCAAACCAGTTAAAACATGGTGTCCATGTATTTGAGAAGAACACCTCGCACCGTGGCGCATTCATAACGCAACTCAACTGTACCTACATTTTATAGGCATGTCGGATTACAGGCGGTGCCGGATTAGACAGGGGCCGGATAACCGGCTGCCCACTGTATATGTTTATCTTTTTTAGTACCGCTTATCGTTTCCATCGAGTTTCAAATCAAACCGATTCTATAGAAGTTTTCACTTCAAAAAAGTAACAACTATGCAAGGATTCCCACTGCGAAATATTCACATCAATGTTACACTATTGCATGCAGAACGGAACAGAAAATTAGTTGATTACTCGTAGCTTTTTTTAAACACTACTACTACTACTGTCTACTCGCTTAACAAATATCAATGTAAAAAATCTACTACTATCTTGGTTAAAATCTCTAAATACAGAAGGAACTGAAAATTTCTTGGTCACTTTAAAATAATATTACATTAGAATAATATAACTATCTACTAAAAGTGCTTTAATTATAATAATAAAAAATTATTTCATTTTTATAGCTACATACTTATAAAACTATATTTAAGTCAGAATGTAATTTAAAAAAAGACCTTTGCAAAAACCATGAATTAAATAATTTTTTTTTAAAACGTTACCCCTACACTAGGATTTTCTCCTGTATCGTGGGACCAGTTTACAAACATTAATTACACAAGGACAAACATCCAGACCCGGAACAATTATTTGTAGGTCATACAAATACTTGTTCCGTGCGGGATTCGAACCCGCGACCCCCAGCGCAGCCACTCATTGTTAAGCCACTACGCCACGAGTAGTAAATAAATTATATAATATTTATATGACTGTTCACTGTAAATTGCATAACTTTTGTTAAATACCTGTAGAATTCCTAAAGTTATATATTATGATATATCTTTGTAATACTTCATCGTAATCTATCACCAAAAAAAAAAAAGAGTTCTTTGACTTGTGATAACAATAATCATTTACTGCATTATAAATTAAAAAATTAAAAAAGTTCCTATAAATAGTAGTATAACCTTTCATACGCACAATAAGTTAGTGTGACGGTAAACGCAAAAAAGTGGTAATGTAGTTGCGAATTTGTAACGTAATATATAGATTAAGTGATTCATAATATGCCGTACACTTTTATAACTATAGATAATGGTGCCTTTGGAAGAGACTAGTGTCTAAGATACAGGCTCGGCCTAGTTTAGACGCTAGTGTATGAAATTGTATAGATAAATTATAATTCATACCATTTGTTAAAATATCTTAAAGATAAATAATGTAATCCTTACTTCGTGTCAATAAAAATTATCATTGTTATTATTTTAAACAAGAGTGACATACCATCATACAGTTCACCTCATTGTAAGTAGATGCTGTGGCACATAGGCACCCACATTTTATTAAAAATCAAAATGCTGATGTGCTACCTCCACTGAGGTCTAAGATGGATTGATTCATTTGTCAACCGTATGCACGTAACAGAAGCATTAATATTTTTTTTATAGGATAGGGTTACAAACAAGCACACAGTCCGCTTAATGGTAAGTGGTTGCTGGTTGCTGTGGCCCATAGACATCTACATCTATCCACGATTACGAATCAAAATCCAGATGGGTTTCATCCCTGAGAACTAAGATGAAAATGCCTCGTTTCCAGTAAAAAGTGTCTGCTATTTTACGCTGGTATTGCTGAACGGGCTTGGTCCTTCTCCAATATAAAACTGCAGTGTTTCTCTGTCCGATCGCATGTGATAATCACTTGCAAAATTAGCATGAATTAACAGCCTATATTGTTTACCTTATAGTTGTGGTGTTAGAATATCCCACATAACCAATAACGTTCCGTGGGTGTCGTAAGAGGCGGCTGAAGGAAACTGAAACAATATATTGGCAGCAGCATCTTCCTAATAACAACTCAACATTATAAAAATTGTGATTGCCAACTATGAGGCAGCTATTGGAAAGGCCCATGCAGTCAACAGTATACTTTTATAGGCTATATTGGACGAACGGCCTGTATACGTCCCAATACTTAGCACAGACTTCGGCCCAATTTTTCTCCTCTCATTTCTCAAGTATATACCAGTTTTATTCATTTATCTATTTTGTTACTTTACAGGTTACAAAAGGAATGAATAAAAACAGAAAAATCCGGATATAAAGCCAAAACATTGCCTAAGATTCTAATACAAGTTTTAGGTTTTTGTTAATGGTGCAAATATGGAATGTAAAGTGTATGTAGGTAGATAAACTTGTAATTGTTATTATTGAATTGAAGTCAATGCTTATGAAATATTAGCGTTAGCAACGTATAAAAGTCCCTTTCATCATAATATTTCGTATTACGATTATCAATTTTAATTTTGTTACTATTATTATTAAAGATGGCGAGCTTCCTTTCAATGCATGCCCATGCACTGCAATATGATTTACATTAATATTAGCTTTCCTAATATTTAGATAGATCTGTATAGTATTACAATTTATATTTTTTGTCTGTTGACAACACTGGTATTGTGTTTTTTAATACAATATTTAGCTTATATGTATTGAAGCACTTCAGAGGTCAGTATTGTAGCTCAAAACAAGGGTAGAAATTTTATTAATAACTGGCTTGTGCTCGGCCTTTTGCTACTACAGAAGAAATAATTCTGAAAATATCGTTATAAATTTGTAGGAGTTATATTGTTATTGTTTAATTATGAATGATAATACATTCATTGAGTTTAATGATATGTAACTTACAATTCAATTTTTCGGTACGATACGCGCGTCACCTACTCTAAGTTGATTGTACTTTGCGCAAGTGCAAGTAATAAGATGACAAAGTTTTAGCGCAATCAGATGAACGGTATGGCAGCGCATAAAATACGAACAAACAATAATAGATTAGTTAAACACTTGTATTCTTTGGACATCTCGATTTTATTTTGGCACAACATTTCGTTGACAAACAAGTAAAACTCTTAAATTATGCCACATTTGTAATTTTTAATAGCCATTACACCAATTAAAGTTTATTTGATAAATAAATAACGGATAAATTGGAATAATATGTAACTTTTATTATTTAAAATTTAAATTAAAAATATTTAAAATTCCAAGAGTTTTACTTGTCCGACTTATGATGAACAATGTTAATGGTTAAAGAAAAATAATCAAAACCTAGAACTAAAATGAAAATGAAAAACAGAATGTAATGATTTCATTTTTGGATGGACTTTTTTTTATAATTTTTGTTATAGGATTTTTATTTTTTTCCGTTAAATTTTTAACAGTAATGTAATAAACCCAACCAAAGCTTTTTTTATTTCGTAAGTTGTTTAAAACTGATTAAATACTAGTCTTCTATTACAATGTCGATACGTTAGAAATTCCTATAAAAATAAGAAAAAAAAGTAATTTGATTGTGTATTGTATAGGGGTGGTAAGAATTTAGGAAGTGTAAAAAGTAATAAACAATCATTACGCTAATCAAAAAAGCTTCCAAATCTCAATAGTTATGTAGATTTAAATTTATTAATTACGTAAAAGCTTATTTTAGTTATACATATCACTATTGCTTTTATTACGTTAGCGATTCTATGAAACTCTTAACTTCTTAACTTTAATAAGGAACTTTGTTTTCTACTGATTTGTCTCAATAATTAGATTAGAACCTTGATAACTCGGTAAGACGAGAGACTGCTAGAAACTTACAAGTGAAAATACATTTCTATGTATACATAATGTTGGTAAGTAATTAGAGAAATATGACGAGTGTAACTAATTTTATGTTATCTTTCTAAGGTTGCTTTCTCGAAATTATATGATTCAAAGTATGTTTAGATTTCTTTAACTTGTGCTCTTGTGCGTATGATTACAACTTATGAAGTTGTCTTGAAATTAAACGTTTTTTTAAATACTTTATTTTTATTTAATAACTACCCTAACTTAACTACTACGGTACCTGAGAGAAAACAAGTCTACAGATTTTAATAAAAAAAACATTGGTTTAGTACAGATTCTTTAAAGTATGAACGAAAAATTGTAACATTTGGCATAAATAAAAACAAAATTAAACATTTGTAAAAAACCTTGCTACTGCCTTATTTTACGATGGTAGGATAATAAGGCTTACTGTTTTAACGAACTTAAATAAATGATCACTATACGCAGTGGCGAAGCTAGGGCTCCAAACTAGGGCAAGCCCAAGATATGATTTTGTTGTTTTCAGCAGTTTTATAAAAATACACCAATCTTGATCTGTCTCCACTCTTCATTTATATTCAGTGCTGTCGAGGACGTGTTTAACAAAGCACACAGAAGGCATACTACTGCTAGATAGATTGTATGACATATCAACAATTGCATACCTTTAGTGGCTTTGAAAAAAGCCGTTTGGGTTTGCTTTAGCGAAAGAAAAAGATATTTACATACAATACAATACATGAACAAAAGAAAAGCTTGAATAAAGTACAAACAAAATATGTACAAAATTAAAAAAAAAATATTTATATTCTAAATCGAATCGTCTCCCTTTCTTAAGAAAAGATTTTATTACGTCCGCGTAATACAAAACAAATTATGTTGGTGAATGTTTTAATTGTACTCGATGTTAGTTTTCATTACATCAGCGACAGAATGAATAATGTCATTTTGGATTGTACTAGATAAATAACTCGGCCGTTTGTCGTTTGGTTGATGCTGTATATACTTTTCTAACACGAGATCGTACTTCGAAAGAAGTGATAGGAGTTCTAAATAATTGTCTCTATATAATGAAGTTTTCGACTCATTGTGAACTCTGAAAGGAAATTCTTGTTGTGCTAAATGGCAAACAATATCGACTATTTTTTGAAAAACCCTACGGTTGTGATCAACACGCATGTTGTGTTTTGTAATTTCCTAGGATAACTGGCGCGACAAAGATGTTTCAATCCGATTTTTTCGAAAATTACTAAAACAAAATTACCGCATTCATGTGTTTTTGAGAATTTATATGCCTTTTAATGGCTCCAGACAAGTTATTTAAATCATCATGTCCAGTAGTATTCCAAGATGTTTTGTTATAAAAGAATATGCAACACCAACAGTACTTATAATATATATACTTATAACTTATTAACTTATATAAAATATGTCACGATCAAAACGGCTAAACAGTGCCGATGTTTTGGCGATCTTAGACTAAGAAAATCATGGTTCCCTGAGAGGTTCAGCGTCAGAAGAGGAGGATCATCAAGCTGTGGATGATGTTCAGAGTCTCGTCCGGACCGCGCTAGCAAGCGATTACGTCCGCCGGTCGTCGACTCCCGCCCGGGTGGGAGAAGTACAGCGCGTCGCTTCGCAGTGAGTGCACGTGCTGTGGGGCCAACTCGGCTTGCGTAGAGCCTCGAGGACGCCCCTGACACCACCCGGGACGTTACGTGCCCAACACTGCGTTCAACCTACATGCTGGGAAGCGAACTCCGAAGGCCCGGCGCGCTGCTGGGAGCGCGCGCCTGTTGGTGACTTCGGCTCTGCGTCGAGATGCGTCTCCGCGGGACCTGGAGGTTGCTGACCCTTCGGCAGATCTCTTCCCAGAGGCGCGAGATACGCCAACTTCTGCCTAGGGATACAAGGCCATCACCTAGAGCCAGAAAGGAGCACTGGAGGCCCGGAGTGCTGCTGTCAGGAACGCACTCCTGTCGGCAAGATTGGTCCTGCGTCGACTCCTTTTCCTCGGGACTCCGCGGGGCTTCGAGACGGCTGACCCTCCGGTAGCACCTACCTGGTGGCGCGCAATACGTCAAAGAGGATAACCGACAATGTCGTACAAACGTACGGCTCCCAAGACCGGCCCATAGATACGGGCTGTGAGGATTACCCGGGTAATGGGGAACTCCCCGAGGCCCGAACCTGCATGGGATAAATAACAGTAGTCCCATTGTAGATGACAATACGAAGATGATGTTCTAAGTGAAGACGAGAACGATTATGTTACTGACAAGATCTCTTTACGATCTGCTTCCACTGAAGAAACTGTCTCAACAACTGCTGCAGCAGCTCACCCATCTACTCCTGCTCATTTTCAACCTATAAGTCTTGGGTATTGACATCTCAAGACTTATACAGAATGGGTCCCACATATATGCAATAAATGAAACCACAAGTAATACTAGTCCGTAGAAGTGTAGAAAAATTATATATTAAATTAAAACCCGTAAAATAAAAAAGTGAAATTTTCAAACAAAATAAATATTAAAATAAATTCAGTAAAAGTGAACACTCTGTTTAGACAACGTACCTTGACCCCTTGGAAGTGTGACAACGTTGCACGCGGGTGGCACGCCGACCAAAGACACCGCTGTCGATATGTCGCAATACCAATAGTTTGCACTGCGTGGCAACGTCGCTTTTTAATGTTCAAGGATTTAAGTTCATTGAATCATTGACTTAGTGACCCAATTCTATAGAGTGTTCAAATTTGCTTAAAATTAAAACTCTTTGACCTAATTACTGGACCGATTACGTTCATTTTTTGTATATCGTCAGCAAAGGCGATAACAAGTATATGGTTTCATTTATTGCATATATGTGGGACCCATTCTGTATGTCGTGTCTCCGGAAATACAATTCGTGGTTAGAACGAATGTTTGGTCGACTACCAAGGGTCAATCATCTAAGATAACTTCAGCAATGAATATGATCAAGAACAATAAAAAACCTAAATGAAGAAAGTTCATGAAGCAGCTCAACACAGATTTGGCCAAGCCTTGAATAGAGATAAGACTTGAAGCGCCGACTTTGAAAAGATCTATACGAGAAAACATAAGCCACATTCTCGGAAAATCTACTGATCAAGTAATGAAGTTCAGAAGGGAGAACCTGAGCCCAAAAACCGTAAATGCTGCAGTTTTTGCTCTTACAAAAAAAGAGAATGCCTAAATTAGTGTGTTGATAAGTACAAAAAGTCAGTATGTTGCGAGCACAAAGTTTATGTGTGTGTAGAATGCTCTAAACTTTAAGCTTGTCTGTTAAAGTCTGATTTAATTTAATAATTGTGCTACGAAAAATTCATTAAATAGTAAAAAACATATAAGATAGTTAAAAAATGATGTTACCGTTGATTAATCAGAAGTTACTTTTTGTACGAATGTAAGCAGATTGTTCTATTT